ATTATTTTTGCTGGTTCTTCCTTTTCGTTGACATATATCACATGCTTTGATGTAATTTTTGATAGTTTTGAACATTTAAGACCAATAGTATTTACGCAATATTCGATGATAAGTAGTTTCTATTCCAAAGTGACCAGAATATGATTCTGAGTGCCCATGAAATAAAATTCTTTCTACATCATTAATTTTGATAACTTGTTGTGGCTCATCTGGATTTAAATGATTTCTTTTGTACAATTGAAAGTGTTAAATAAAATACGATTTGGTTTTGTCAATAAATTTCTTTTGGAGTTCCATTGAGAGGTTAGCCAGTAAGATAAGTGAGTCCAAATAATTATAGATTTTGACATATTCATTTAAATTCATGGTGATTGGTTATTTGAGTTATTGGTGATGTATGATATTCTTGATAGTGGGTCTATATTTGAATAAGTGCGACCTTTTTTGTGAATTGTATTAAAATTATAATCGCATAGTGTCATTATCCATCTTGCTAAATAACCAGGTGGATTTGGTTTATTAAATAAATACTTCAATACTAAGTGATTGGTTATTAAACTGAATGGAATATTGGAATGTAAATATGATCAGAATAATTTATGACCCAAACGATAACAAGACATTCAAGTTTAGTTGCTGAGTACTTTGCTTCAGTTTCATTTACACGTCTATTAGCGTAAGCAATGACTTTTTCACGACCTTCTGAATCTTTTTGAGATAAGACGGCACCAAGTCCAATACTAGATGCATCAGTAAACAATATGAAAGGCTTATCAAAATTGGGGTAAGTGAGAATTGGTGACGTAGTTAAATGCTTTTTCAATATATCAAATACCTTTTGACAGTTTTCATTCCAAATATACGGTTAGTTTTTGTGAAATAGTTTATGGAGTGGTGATACAATTTTAGTGAAGTCTTTTATAAAACACTGGTAGTATAAAGCTAAACCAATAAATTCACGTAATGTTGTTATGTTTTCTGGTACTGGATAATTTTGAACTTTTTCAACTTTGGATGGGTCTGGCTTTATTCCATCTT